AATTGTTCTTGTAATACAATTATTTTTTACTTTTTACTATTTTTTTTTTTAGAAAAGCATGTTTTTAAAAAAGTTTTTTTTCAATTTATTTATTTTATTTTTTTACTTTTTAGTCCTATTAAAGGTATTTAATAATTGCTGTATAGATTACTAAATTAATTTTGGAAGATTTGAAAAAAACATGAAATTATAGTGAATTGACCCCCACATTTGACCCTGTGTAGGGCGACCTGGATGTCCGAGTCCCAATATGATTACAGGATATTGTATTATCATCTTAGACGAGTGTCTGTGCCAAGTTTCAGCCCTATACGACATCGGGAAGTGGGTTAAATTAATTTTGCAAGATTTGAAAAATAACCGTACAAACGTACGTACGTACGTGTTAGCGAGCTAAAGAAAAGCCTGTAATAAATATAGTATACTTAATACTATAATACATATTAAAACGAGGATTATAAGTATAAAAAAAATAGTCGCAAAAGAAAAATCTCAGGCATTATTAATTAAATATTTATAAAAGATCCCAAATTCATATTGGATTGTATAAAAGCAAAAAATTGAGGTAACACATAATTATAAAAATAAGAAACAACATGTTCATTTTGTAGCCTTTTACTTAGTAGGTTATGTATTATACTTTTTTTAGTTTTTTATAGGTACAATATTATATTTTGTTATAATTACTAATAAAATAAATATTTCATAACTATATATTTAATACTTATTATCATTTAATTTTAATTCAATTATTATTATATGTTTCTATGTTTGAGTATTTATAACTATACAACTCAACATGAGTTGACGTTTTACATTACTAACAGCTTCCCATATACCCGGCTTCACCCGGAGAAATACATACAATTGCCACAAAGTACTCACAAATTATGTTTAAACTATCCTCGTGAAACACTCTTTTTATCAGTGAAAACTAGAATAAAATTCGTTCAGTATTTACTGAGAAAATCGTGCATAGACTCGGTAAACGAATTTGTTTATCGAATAAGATAATAATTAAGTTATTTTTGAAACTGGTCGACGCGTATTCGCATATAATAGGTAATAACTAATAAGCAAGTACGAGATATCAATACGTTTATTCTAATTTCTAAGAAAGTTAGTTAAGAAAGTTATTCATAGGTCATATTGTCATAACAACAAAAGTAATAAAGCTATCAAAGTTATTCAAATTATGATGGCTATTGTATTTTCTATTCTGTTCAATGTTACATACATTTTAATGAACAGTATTTAAAATAATACTCTAGTTTGTAACAAGCGGGCGAGCGCAATAGCGAGTGTTATATTATAGTGCCGCGCCAATGTCCAACGTGATAGAGCATACGTTGCGCGCGCATAATATTAGTTTTTACTAGAACCGCTGTCCGTAAAAGAATGATGTGCCACTCCTCACTGGCTGCAACGCGCAGCGTCGCAGCACTCGTATGGGCGTGGCTATATGCCGCCGCCGCCGCGCCGATATGGAAAATAACGCCATCTCTTGAGCGTTGGTTTCGTTTCACTTTTGCTTTGACGCCCTCTTAAATATTTATAATGAGTTCTTTTTGGGCCACATAAAAATAATCGGCGGGCTGTATGCAGCCCAGGGGCCGCTGGTTGAGTATGGTTGTGTTAAATGCTAATATTTTATTCTTCTAAGATTCCAAGTAGAAAGCAATATTTTCTTCATCTGAAAAAAATAATTTAATAATTATTAACTTATATCTCCTAATTTCTATAAAATGCCTAATCTAAAACAATATTATTTTTATTTTGTACATTTTTGGGTTATATCTACAAAAGACGACTTCAAAATGAAGACGTTGACACAACTGAAAATATACAAAGTAACAATTTACTAATAGTAATAGTGTAATATCTATTATTCACAATAAACAGTTTTTCAATACTAAAATATTGCACATCTAGACTCTAGTGCATATTGATATTCGAAACATACCTAACTAGTAACTGAATAATCATAAATGACATATTGATATGTAGCTTGATAAACCAATACTGACTATTGTAATCAGTGACAAATTGTACATTAAGGTTTCAACACATCATTATCTTTCCAGTAATCTTCTTAAAAAATGTCCTGCTAAAAAATACAAATTAAAATTGTATAAATTAAAATTTTAATATTTAATATATTGTACTTACAGCTTTTCTGCGGTTAGTCATCAACATTTATTCCAGTTAAACTATAATTAACAACTGTTAATTGGCCATATAATAATAATATATTACGTATAGTATTAAATAAATCAGTAGGTATATTGTACAACTTGGTTGTTATGTTGAGTTTTCCAAGTCTTAAATACAAATTTCACTATTACTAATGAGAACTAATTATATTTATGAAATCATTACATTCATTATAGTTTCAAAATAAATTGTAAAATGTATGTCACTAACCACAATTAGACATTTTAAAACACAATACTAGTTTCTTCTTTATATATAAAAAAAACTGTTCACAAATCACGAGTACACGTTGTTTGTCGTTTGACAATTTAAGTTTTACTCATACCATAGTATAATAATACTGTGATAATAATATTAACGCTATATTATAATCATACCGTAAAAGTGGTTTAAGGCAAAATCGTCCACATCGCAGTCTACTGATAATACATGTGAACGGATGACGGTTATGTAAGGTATATTTGTTTCCAAACAGGTAGATTAAGAATCGATTGTCCATATAATAATAAAAAAAAATTAGAGCCAGAGTTATTTATGTCTCATTATCGGTGACAGTATTATCGATGGGGTCCAATATTATCATTATTTACTGGCAAATAAAAGTGCTACTGCTGAAAAACCAAACAAATATTGATTTTAATTTCAAATCTTTACTAAGTCACAGAAAACGAACAGATAGTTGAAAATTGAAAATTCAAACGCTAACAATTTTTAAAAAAAATTGTCTACATACTTATGGAATTAAAAACATATGTTTCCGTTTAAAAAAACGAGATTCGTAGTTTTATAAAGTGTAAGGGTTGAAGATAAAAAAATTCTAAATATTAAAAAATGTAGTAAAATATGTACCTAAAAGTTTAGAAAAAAAAAATTCTCAAAATATTCATATTTTCCGAGAAAATGAGTATCTTACGTTAGTTGGATCACCCTGTATATATATAACACATCATGTAATTTATGAATTCACGCCGTTGGCAATTCGTGCCACGTCCACGAGGAATGGAGGCTCACAGACGTGTCTGAAATTTGTGCGTCGAGGTCGACGGCCGCATGGTCAGTGCACAAAGTAAAAAAAAATATTATCATTATTAGTTTATCTAACATACGTCCACGATACCGTAGTTATATAATATTATGGGTAAGTGCAATAGTCAGTTAGCAGAAAAAAAATTAAATAACTAATTGCCGTTGACTATTGTACTCTACAGATAATGACGGACCGGTCGACGACACGCACACACACACATCAAGTAATTTATATCATAATAGGATTATTATGTTATGTGTGTATTACTACTATGATTATTATATAAATAATAGTATTATTATTATATTTAATTTTATTGGAATAGATAATATACATATTCACAACGAACATCTAAGCGCATATATATATATGCGCTTGCGCGTACATGTTGCAGAAATGGATAACGAGTCTTCGACGCCACGGGGCCATTAAAAGAACTCCAGTCGAAGTCTCGTTATCCATTTCTGCAACATGTACGCGCCAGCGCATATATATATATATATAACACATCATGTAATTTATGAATTCACGCCGTTGGCAATTCGTACCACGTCCACGAGGAATGGAGGCTCACAGGCGTGTCTGAAATTTGTGCGTCGAGGTCGACGTGCGGCAACCACAGTGTTTTTTTTTCTCGGTTTACTCGTGGAGGAGCCGGGCAATCGTTTCGGCCGGCCGGTACCTGACCGCGGTTGCCGCCACCGCCGCCGTCGCACCGAAAAATAATATATACAAATAATATGTATATATGCGCTTGCGCGTACATGTTGCAGAAATGGATAACGAGTCTTCGACGCCACGGGGGCCATTAAAAGAACTGCAGTCGAAGTCTCGTTATCCATTTCTGCAACATGTACGCGCAAGCGCATATATATATATATATAACACATCATGTAATTTATGAATTCACGCCGTTGGCAATTCGTGCCACGTCCACGAGGAATGGGGGCTCACAGACGTGTCTGAAATTTGTGCGTCGAGGTCGACGGCCGCATGGTCAGTGCACAAAGTAAAAAAAAATATTATCATTATTAGTTTATCTAACATACGTCCACGATACCGTAGTTATATAATATTATGGGTAAGTGCAATAGTCAGTTAGCAGAAAAAAAATTAAATAACTAATTGCCGTTGACTATTGTACTCTACAGATAATGACGGACCGGTCGACGACACGCACACACACACACACACACATCAAGTAATTTATATCATATTAGGATTATTATGTTATGTGTGTATTACTACTATGATTATTATATAAATAATAGTATTATTATTATATTTAATTTTATTGGAATAAATAATATATATATTCACAACGAACATCTAAGCGCATATATATATATGAGCTTGCGCGTACATGTTGCAGAAATGGATAACGAGTCTTCGACGCCACGGGGGCCATTAAAAGAACTGCAGTCGAAGTCTCGTTATCCATTTCTGCAACATGTACGCGCAAGCGCATATATATATATATATAACACATCATGTAATTTATGAATTCACGCCGTTGGCAATTCGTGCCACGTCCACGAGGAATGGGGGCTCACAGACGTGTCTGAAATTTGTGCGTCGAGATGTGATGATGTAATGATGTGCCACTCCTCACTGGCTGCAACGCGCAGCGTCGCAGCACTCGTATGGGCGTGGCTATATGCCGCCGCCGCCGCGCCGATATGGAAAATAACGCCATCTCTTGAGCGTTGGTTTCGTTTCACTTTTGCTTTGACGCCCTCTTAAATATTTATAATGAGTTCTTTTTGGGCCACATAAAAATAATCGGCGGGCTGTATGCAGCCCAGGGGCCGCTGGTTGAGTATGGTTGTGTTAAATGCTAATATTTTATTCTTCTAAGATTCCAAGTAGAAAGCAATATTTTCTTCATCTGAAAAAAATAATTTAATAATTATTAACTTATATCTCCTAATTTCTATAAAATGCCTAATCTAAAACAATATTATTTTTATTTTGTACATTTTTGGGTTATATCTACAAAAGACGACTTCAAAATGAAGACGTTGACACAACTGAAAATATACAAAGTAACAATTTACTAATAGTAATAGTGTAATATCTATTATTCACAATAAACAGTTTTTCAATACTAAAATATTGCACATCTAGACTCTAGTGCATATTGATATTCGAAACATACCTAACTAGTAACTGAATAATCATAAATGACATATTGATATGTAGCTTGATAAACCAATACTGACTATTGTAATCAGTGACAAATTGTACATTAAGGTTTCAACACATCATTATCTTTCCAGTAATCTTCTTAAAAAATGTCCTGCTAAAAAATACAAATTAAAATTGTATAAATTAAAATTTTAATATTTAATATATTGTACTTACAGCTTTTCTGCGGTTAGTCATCAACATTTATTCCAGTTAAACTATAATTAACAACTGTTAATTGGCCATATAATAATAATATATTACGTATAGTATTAAATAAATCAGTAGGTATATTGTACAACTTGGTTGTTATGTTGAGTTTTCCAAGTCTTAAATACAAATTTCACTATTACTAATGAGAACTAATTATATTTATGAAATCATTACATTCATTATAGTTTCAAAATAAATTGTAAAATGTATGTCACTAACCACAATTAGACATTTTAAAACACAATACTAGTTTCTTCTTTATATATAAAAAAAACTGTTCACAAATCACGAGTACACGTTGTTTGTCGTTTGACAATTTAAGTTTTACTCATACCATAGTATAATAATACTGTGATAATAATATTAACGCTATATTATAATCATACCGTAAAAGTGGTTTAAGGCAAAATCGTCCACATCGCAGTCTACTGATAATACATGTGAACGGATGACGGTTATGTAAGGTATATTTGTTTCCAAACAGGTAGATTAAGAATCGATTGTCCATATAATAATAAAAAAAAATTAGAGCCAGAGTTATTTATGTCTCATTATCGGTGACAGTATTATCGATGGGGTCCAATATTATCATTATTTACTGGCAAATAAAAGTGCTACTGCTGAAAAACCAAACAAATATTGATTTTAATTTCAAATCTTTACTAAGTCACAGAAAACGAACAGATAGTTGAAAATTGAAAATTCAAACGCTAACAATTTTTAAAAAAAATTGTCTACATACTTATGGAATTAAAAACATATGTTTCCGTTTAAAAAAACGAGATTCGTAGTTTTATAAAGTGTAAGGGTTGAAGATAAAAAAATTCTAAATATTAAAAAATGTAGTAAAATATGTACCTAAAAGTTTAGAAAAAAAAAATTCTCAAAATATTCATATTTTCCGAGAAAATGAGTATCTTACGTTAGTTGGATCACCCTGTATATATATAACACATCATGTAATTTATGAATTCACGCCGTTGGCAATTCGTGCCACGTCCACGAGGAATGGAGGCTCACAGACGTGTCTGAAATTTGTGCGTCGAGGTCGACGGCCGCATGGTCAGTGCACAAAGTAAAAAAAAATATTATCATTATTAGTTTATCTAACATACGTCCACGATACCGTAGTTATATAATATTATGGGTAAGTGCAATAGTCAGTTAGCAGAAAAAAAATTAAATAACTAATTGCCGTTGACTATTGTACTCTACAGATAATGACGGACCGGTCGACGACACGCACACACACACATCAAGTAATTTATATCATAATAGGATTATTATGTTATGTGTGTATTACTACTATGATTATTATATAAATAATAGTATTATTATTATATTTAATTTTATTGGAATAGATAATATACATATTCACAACGAACATCTAAGCGCATATATATATATGCGCTTGCGCGTACATGTTGCAGAAATGGATAACGAGTCTTCGACGCCACGGGGCCATTAAAAGAACTCCAGTCGAAGTCTCGTTATCCATTTCTGCAACATGTACGCGCCAGCGCATATATATATATATAACACATCATGTAATTTATGAATTCACGCCGTTGGCAATTCGTACCACGTCCACGAGGAATGGAGGCTCACAGGCGTGTCTGAAATTTGTGCGTCGAGGTCGACGTGCGGCAACCACAGTGTTTTTTTTTCTCGGTTTACTCGTGGAGGAGCCGGGCAATCGTTTCGGCCGGCCGGTACCTGACCGCGGTTGCCGCCACCGCCGCCGTCGCACCGAAAAATAATATATACAAATAATATGTATATATGCGCTTGCGCGTACATGTTGCAGAAATGGATAACGAGTCTTCGACGCCACGGGGGCCATTAAAAGAACTGCAGTCGAAGTCTCGTTATCCATTTCTGCAACATGTACGCGCAAGCGCATATATATATATATATAACACATCATGTAATTTATGAATTCACGCCGTTGGCAATTCGTGCCACGTCCACGAGGAATGGGGGCTCACAGACGTGTCTGAAATTTGTGCGTCGAGGTCGACGGCCGCATGGTCAGTGCACAAAGTAAAAAAAAATATTATCATTATTAGTTTATCTAACATACGTCCACGATACCGTAGTTATATAATATTATGGGTAAGTGCAATAGTCAGTTAGCAGAAAAAAAATTAAATAACTAATTGCCGTTGACTATTGTACTCTACAGATAATGACGGACCGGTCGACGACACGCACACACACACACACACACACATCAAGTAATTTATATCATATTAGGATTATTATGTTATGTGTGTATTACTACTATGATTATTATATAAATAATAGTATTATTATTATATTTAATTTTATTGGAATAAATAATATATATATTCACAACGAACATCTAAGCGCATATATATATATGAGCTTGCGCGTACATGTTGCAGAAATGGATAACGAGTCTTCGACGCCACGGGGGCCATTAAAAGAACTGCAGTCGAAGTCTCGTTATCCATTTCTGCAACATGTACGCGCAAGCGCATATATATATATATATAACACATCATGTAATTTATGAATTCACGCCGTTGGCAATTCGTGCCACGTCCACGAGGAATGGGGGCTCACAGACGTGTCTGAAATTTGTGCGTCGAGGTCGACGGCCGCATGGTCAGTGCACAAAGTAAAAAAATTATTATCATTATTAGTTTATCTAACATACGTCCACGATACCGTAGTTATATAATATTATGGGTAAGTGCAATAGTCAGTTAGCAGAAAAAAAATTAAATAACTAATTGCCGTTGACTATTGTACTCTACAGATAATGACGGACCGGTCGACGACACGCACACACACACACACACACATCAAGTAATTTGGAGGCTCACATGCGTGTCTGAAATTTGTGCGTCGAGGTCGACGGCCGCATGGTCAGTGCACAAAGTAGGCAGCCAGAGTTTGGGATAAGAACTTTTGCAATCAAAGACATCAATGCATTTTTCGCATTTATGCGTTTAATGCATTGTAAAAAATGCAGACAACCACTGAACCGATGGTACACGATTGACACATCAATTGCGAAAAATTGGAGTTTACTCACGCATGACAAGTTTGTAAACTATGTTGATTTAGATATTGAATATATTAACTTATAATTTTTTTTACTAATATTGGATTTAAGAAAACAGTGCTAGTTAGTGTAATTTTTTTACTAATATTAGAATTAAGATTAGGATTGTAAAATAAATAGTTCTACTTAAAATAAACTTATTTTTTAGTTTAAAAAAAACCATTGCCTCATTTTATTATTTAATATAACGTAAATTATAATATACTTAAAACTTCATTTTTGGTTAACTATATAATAACAAGCGGCTCAACTGATTATTGCAAGTGTAGTCTAAAATACTATATTAAAAAATTTAAGCATAAAGTATAATATAATAACTTGCAATATATATTTATATATATATACAGGGTGATCCAACTAACGTAAGACACTCATTTTCTCTGAAAGTATGAATATTTTGCGAATTTTTTTTTCCCTAAAATTTTAGGTACATATTTAGCTACATTTTTCAATATTTAGAAAAATTTTATCTTTAACCCTTATACGTTAAATAAGTACGAACCTCGTTTTTTCAAATGGGAACATATGTTTTAAATTCCATAAATATAAAGACAAAAAATCTAAAAAAATGTTAGCGTTTGAATTTTTAATTTTCATCCATTTGTTCGCTGTTTATGACTTTGTAAAGATTTGAATTTTTGTCTATATTTCTTAATAATTTCATTCGATTCGACAAAGACAAGTAGTTTTATTACGACGGTCATCACATCAAATATAATAATAATTTGATGTTAACGCATTCCGTATCATAATCAGATATAATAAATAACCATACATTATTAGACGAAAGGTAGACTGTTACGGATAACGGACTTTACACTTTAACCTAATCTAGCTGGAGCTAGTCATTAGTTGGTTATCTCGGATAACAATCTAGTATCTAAACTATGCATCAGTTACCACGGAATAATCGAGTGACCAGTACCCATAATATATTTTATTATTTGTACAAAATCGCATTATATTTATTATTTGTACATAACCTCATCGCTAACAAATTTCGACTTCGAAGTTCACACGTTTTCCATTAGTGAAATGAGAAATTGCAAACTTAATTAAAAAATGTTAGTAAATTTACATTTTACTTTATAGTAAATATGATAGCATGCTTATTGTAGTTATGTCATAACTCGTTATTTTATAATTTTTTAAATATATCAATTGATAATATTTGCTCTCGACTTTATTTTGACGTTACATTCTTGGACACATCATTAATTTAATAGGTAAGTGTATTAAAGTTTAATAGATAATTTAATACAATACGAATTCAATTAGCTTTTTTATTTTAGGTTGAATGCTTTTTTACTGAAAATATTTCATCTTTTAAAAACCAATGTTATCATGTAAAATTGGTTTTGAGTATGACATATCAATTGCTATGGAAATGTCTTTCCAATCGGACCCAAGACCTTACAATTATATATCAAGGTGTAAATTATAAGTATAAAACATTTATTTCTAATATGACATTTTTTCATGTGAATGTATAATATCAACACTAAGCAATTTGAATGAAAAGTGTGTTGTGTTAACTTAAAATAATTATTAATGCATGTATTTGTGTACGTGGGTTGATAATACTCATATACCCGTTTCATTTATATTTAAAAATATCAGTAATTAATGTATGAATTTCATACTACTACATACAAAAAATCGCTTCTTGATTATACCAATATTTATAATAATATGTAAGTATATTATTTTTATTTGATTAAACTTATCTAAGGTAGTTCAAATGTCTGCTTTCAGTTTAGTTATTTCTTACAATGATATAACCCATATATTGTGTGTCTGACATACATTACGGATATTTTATCATAAAGTTTTAGCTATAACTGACACAGGTATTTGTATAGTAAACAAGGAAATATCAGATAATGGTTTTCTTTTTAAACAACTAAAATCTATTAATCTTTTAATTTTCTAGATACTAAATAGTGAAGAAAATAATAAAAATAATAAAATACTGATTATACATAAAATCAAAATAAGCAGATTCAACTGTAAAAGAATTAACTTTTCAATTTGAAATTTTTGAAACAGACATATTTTATTATAAAGGCTTTAGAATCACTATTATTATAACATTATACACCTTATAAGTTATAATAATAATTAGTAAGTACTAATAAAAAGATAAGAACATATAAACTATTTAATTTAATAGTTATTAATAAAATAAAAGAGACAAGTTCTGATAATTTAATGTTTGCGTGACACAA